ACACATGAGCAAGTGAGGGGCAGAGAGAGAGGGAGAGAGAGAACCCCAAGGAGGCCCTATACCCAGCACTGAGCCTGACTTAGGGTTTAATCTCATGAACTATGAGATCATGACCTGAGCCAAAATCAAGAGTTAGACACTTAACTGACTGAGCCAGCCAGGCATCCCAGCAGTGCTCCTTTTAAGCTATCTCTTTTCCTACCCCACCCCCCTCAAGCCCTCCCATTCACCCTCCATTCCTTTTCTTTTTCTTCCTACTTTTTTCCATATTCTTCTTTCTGTTTTGCTCCTTTTGGTAGATCATCTAGGGATCTCCTTACAATTGACTAGTTGTCTGCCCTTTTCCCACATGTTCTCTCTCTTTCCTTGGAGTAGCCCAATCTGTTTCCTTTCCTTATTAGGAGCTTACCTTCTCCTTGCTCTTTCCTTCCTGCTTGTACCTTATGCTCATTCTTAAAGCACTTCCTGCAGAGTTTCTGAAAGCCCAGCTCATTTTCTGCTACTCTTAAATTAGGCAGATGTTTATAGCCAATTGTTTATACTTGCCCCCTTTTTTTCTGGGTCCCTGAAGTTGGCTCAGGCTGCTGCCTTCATGTGACTGGCCGATTTCCTGGGAGTTTATATAAACCTGTTCTTCACCTTCTTCTGTTTTAGTGAGAAGGCACTACCATATTTTCTTTTCCTCAAACATGTTTCCTGGCTACATTGATTGGATAGCTTCATGGGCCACCTACATTTGGCTCACGATATATCTTTAGCTTCTTCTTGTATCAGGTAAAACAGTCTGTTTCCAAGTGGAAAGCTCCTGGAGTTCTCTATTTGTCCCAGGTGATTTTCACTCTTGGATTCTTTATCCCAACTTCTTACCCCATATACTACTTACACTAGGCCAGTTAACACAGCATAGCATTGCTCTAGCTGAGTCACATTAAGTCCTGTATATTCCCATGGAGACTACATGAATTGTTTTAGCCTGGGCCTGCCCAGATTACTCATCACGCCTGGCCCTTTTTTTCGCTATTACTGTCACTAAAATAGGTCCAGTCTTTCTACCTTTCTGAAGCCCACATCACATTTCCTCATGCCAGGGACTGCAGTTTGCTCCATTTCAACCTGGATTCATTCCAGTTGAGTTAATCAGAATCATGTTGTCCATGAAGAACTGCATGTCTTAATTCCATAAATCAAATCTTCTGAAGAGGTCCTCTCATTATTTTACTCTCCTGAAAACTGGATACATTCTCCTTCTTCCCTACTTTTTGTCTTCTGGATCTTCTATAAACGTCACAAAAGGCAAAATGGACATACCAGCATAAAGTTTCAGTGTTTCAGGATAGAACCTCTAGATCCATGTAGTCGGGGTGTGAGTGCCAGCTCTCCCAGCTTTTTAATCTGAGTGATCTATTTTGTTTTTCTTAGTCCTTTTTCCTCATCTGTACAATTAGAATCTTAAGATACTGATTTTATTGAGCCGGGTAAAATATTTTGTACTGTGCTTCCCTGGGATAGGTAAAGTATTAACATGGTTCTTAGCACATATTAAGCTCAACAGGTGTTAGTTATTGGTCTTCATTTTTCCTTTTCTTTTGACCAGAGTTTACGGAATGTTAGCATTGGAAGAGACCATCATCTAGTTTGACTCCCATCACTTTGAAGATGAGCAAACACCTATGTAGAGAGTGCTTTGAGTAATACCAGATTTAAAATATCCTGTTTTTGAAATACCTCAAATGAAAAAGCCCTATAGCCCCCTTATAGTAACACCTTCCAAAGACTAAACAACTGGTGAGGTTAATTAATACACACACACACACACACACACACATGCCCACACTTTCTTTTACAGAAAATGTAAATGTGAATAGGCTTCTGGCTGGCTGAGTCAGTAGAGCATGTGACTCTTGACGTCAGGGTTGTGAGCTCAAGGCCCACAGTGGGCATAGAGCTTACTTAAAAAAAAAAAAAAAAAGAGAATGTATAAATGGAAAGATGCTGATAATATATTGTTTAGTGAATAAGTTGATTGTAACTTTAACTCTCGCTATAAACAAAGACATTTTAAGACTAAAGGATTGATTTGCAGGAAAGTTGGGTGAGGGAAAACAATCCAAACAACTTTCTTACTAAGTGACTTTACACTTGGCACAACTGGTACAATAAAAGAGTAATTAAGAGTCAAGATCATGGCACATCAAGTGAATAATTACAGCATACATTATAAGGTTTTAATGATCAAAGATCTAAGCATATTAGTTTTATACTCACTTGATGAAACAGTTGCTGAATGTTTATGTCAACTACTTTTGTGTTTACTGTGTCATAAAATGTCAGCATCTCTGCATTATAAATTTAGTAATACACTTAGGGCCAGCTAGCAACTGCTCTAAAGAAACAAGTTCGGGAGACCAGTTGACCTGAGTTTATCTGCTATTTCCAGAAAATTTGTCCTTTTTGGATTGAATACTGGGTCCAATACTTTGTATTTTTATTTGGTGGGAGGGAGAAAGGGAAAAGATAGCATCAGAGATCCTGGAAAATTTTAAGACGCATGTGTTTTTGAAAAGTTAGACTGGGAATGAAATTTACAATAGCAAATAAGCATGTAATGAAGCATATTTTCAAGTGCTTTACCATTGAAAATGAAAATCTTTTGTTCCTTTCAGCGGCCTTTGGCTCTGGGAGCTGATATTTGTATGTATTCAGCAACAAAATACATGAATGGTAAGACATAGTCTATACTTTGAGTGTTCCTTTCCATGGATACATGATAATACCATAGGGTTTGATATTTTGATATTTTTTTCTTCTATTCTGGTTTTCTCTGTGACTCATGTAGAAAGTAAAAAATTTATACTTTGGTTAAATATGAGATTCCATTTTATAGCAGACAAAACTATGCTCATGACTTATGAACAGAGGATTGAAATTTACTAAAAAATGTTACATTTTTATCCTACTGACAGCTTTAAAAAGAAACATTTAATTTTTATATGATTTTTATTTTATTATTATAGGTATAGCTTTTGGTACTATCAAATTGAACACAGTTTATTTAAACTTATTCTATCATTTTCCAAAAGAGTTTTTTCAAGTGAAAGTCATATTTTAGAAATTCCAGAATGAAGAATAGACGTGCATTGTTTTTAACTTCAAGGTTTTTGTTTTGTTTTAGGCCACAGTGATGTTGTAATGGGCTTAGTGTCTCTTAATTCTGAGAGCCTCCATGATAGGCTCCGCTTCTTACAAAATTGTAAGTACTGAAAAGTCCAGAATTCCCCTTAACCCCTCAGAGGGACTACATTTGATAATTTGTATTTCCACTAAATGTTGAGAAGTGATAGCTTTCTACTAAATTAGGAAGAAATGAGATGTGGGGGAGAAAGATTCTGAGTTTTAAAGGAAAGTAGAAAAATTGGGATATAAAAATATAGTTAGATCATAGCAGGGCTTTATAACATGATTCAAGGGATCAATTTTGTTATTTTTCAAATCCATGTTAATTTTGACTGTAATTGGGTAAAGCCCACATGAATTTTTCATTTTCAAACTTACTAGATTTGTTTTTAAATAAAACCTTTGGAATAATGGCTTTCTTATACTATACCTTTTATATCTAGAATGGTGGTTAATTTTAAATAGCACTTAATAGGTGAATTTATATTTTTCAACAGATGTCTAAACACATGTCCTGTTTAGATAGTTTAGTTATCTCAAGTATAGGTAAGGGTTTATTTGAAGACACTTCGTTAACCATTGCAATTTGACAGATAAGAGAGAAACATAATTAGGAATAAAAATGCCTCCCTAGGAAGTAAGTATTAAAGTAAAACAAGGAAGCACCAAGGAGGAAAAGCAAAACTTATTGCTTGATAAATTCCTTTCATTTATATAAAGTAGAGGCGAGGTATGTACCCTGGAGGCATATTAACTCCTAGGCTGCTTTAGACAAAAGCTAAATAGAATGCTAGAAGAACATTCAGTAACAATAGGAGCTGAACTGCTATTTTTCTCTACTTTTTCAAAGAAATGTGAGGTTAAACTATGTGCACTATGTCATTTAATCAAAGCCATAGGATTATTTACTTCATATTTGAAAAGTTCATATTGTATTCATGTGTAGTTTGGAGGATATTCATTTCCCCTCTCATTTTAAAGCCCGTTTCTGGGCCACCTGGGTGGCTCAGTCAGCTAAATATCCAACTTCAGCTCAGGTCATGATCTCAAGGTTCATGTCCCTTGGGTTCAAGTCCCATGTTGGGCTCTGTGCTCACAGCTCAGAGTCTGGAGCCTGCTTCAGATTCTGTGTCTCCCTTTCTCTCTGCCTCTCCCCCACTCATGCTCTGTCTCTCTCCAACTCTCAAAAATGAATAAATGTTAAAAAAAAATTTAAAAAGCCCATTTCTTTGAGCATAATTTTTTTTTAATGTTTATTTTTTTTTGAAAGAAAGAGCATGAGCAGGGGAGGGGCAGAGAGACAGGGAGACATAGAATCCAAAGCAGGCTCCAGGCTCAGAGCTGTCAGCACAGAGCCTGACACGGGGCTTGAGCTCACAAATGGTGAGATCGTGATCTGAGCCAATGTTGGACACTTAACCAACAGAGCCACCGTGGCGCTCCTCTTTAAGCATAATTTATACTTCATTCTCATGCTTCTGATTGGATATATTAATTCCCCCCCGAGAAGTCAAACATTGGCCTTTGTAGCTGGCTTCTCAGAGTCACAATGATGAAAAAGAGTGAGAGAATCTTCTGGGTCTCTCCCACCTTTCAGACTAACCCAGAATATGTTCATTTTCCAGCTCTTGGAGCAGTTCCATCTCCTGTTGACTGTTACCTCTGCAATCGAGGTCTGAAGACTCTACAGGTCCGAATGGAGAAGCATTTCGAAAATGGGATGGCAGTTGCTCGGTTTCTGGAATCTAATCCTAGGGTAGAAAAGGTTATTTATCCTGGTATGTTAATGAGACTCCTAGGGTTTCATGGGCAGGCTCTGTGGTGGGTCTGGTGGCGAAGAAGATAGACCTGATCTGTGGCCTTGTGTTGCATATAGTCTAGTGGCTGCTTGGATGTTAGGAAATTGATTTTATGTGTTAGATGTTCCTGTGATGGCCTTTAGCTTGCAAGTTTGTGTTTATTCCAAGATTACACCATTTTACTTTTCAGTTGATTTGCTTATAGTCTTGTCAGTCAACTATTTTGCATTAGCTCTAACTTTTATCTGATTTAGGTTGGGGCTTGATATTCGTCAAATTCAGACTTGATACTTATGTACCAAAATTCCCCCAAAGCTCTCTTGCTTTTTGAATTTTTTCACCTCTGGCAACATCTAGAATGCTCATGTGGAGTTAGCAGACTTCTGTATTACTCTTTGAATTTATTTTATTTAAATTGTGGTGGTCTTAAGTAAATAGTTATTTTAAACCCTTTGAGGTATTTGCCATATAGTTTGGGTGGGCAGGAGAATTAAGCCTGATCCCTGCCCTCAAGGAGCTTAGGTAAGCCAAGACAGAACTACATATGTACCCTAGGTAAAGAGCTGTTGACTGGTGTATATTTTAAATGGAAGGAGGGAGAAAAGTTTTGGGCTGTGTCTTGAAGAATGGGTAGCACTTGTTAGAAGGGCATGAACAGGCATTCAGATTCATTCAGTGAATAAATGCTTATCAATTGCCAACTACGGACCAAGCTTTGTACTAGGAACTGGGATCCAATTATTAACAAAAGAAATGGATTTCTCCACACGGAGCTAGTCTGGTGGATAAGACAGATGTTAAGCAAGAAATTAAAGAATGATATAAGTAACAGAGTGGCTGGGGTAATCAGTGTAAAGAAGGCCAATGTAGCTCCAGCATGGAGAGGGTAGAAAAGATAGGTCAAAATGAAGCCAGAGACATAGAGACAGGGGCCAGAACAAGTCGTCAGATGTGACCATGGCATAAAGCTCATTATTAGGCTTATTTGCAGTTTGCTTTAGCAAACAGTGATTTTTTTTTTTGTCCTGAAATTACATGTTTGACTATAAATAAGACTTTTATTATGCCTCATGATTATAGGACTGCCCTCTCATCCCCAGCATGAGCTGGCAAAGCGTCAGTGCACAGGCTGTCCAGGGATGATCACCTTTTATATTAAGGGCACTCTTCAACATGCTGAGACTTTTCTCAAGAACCTAAAGGTAAACTTTCAAAAGAGCTATTTAAATCATAGAGGTAGGGGCTCCTGGGTGGCTCAGTTGGTTGAGTGTCCGACTCTTGATTTTGGCTCAGGTCATGATTTTATGGTTAGTGGTATCAAGCCCCGCATTGGGCTTTGCACTGGCGGTGTGGAGCCTGCTTGAGATTCTCTCTCTCTCTCCCTCTCTCTCTCTCTCTCTACTCCTCCCCTGCTTGCACATGCATGCTCTCTCATTCTCTCAAAATAAATAAACATTTAAAAGTAAATAAGTAATAGAGATAAATTACAGCAGTTCATTATCTGTCATTTCCACCCAACTCGGATTAATGTTTTTGTACCTGCAAGTCACACCCACAAACCTCCTTATCATGAAATGCATTGGGTTGGAAAATGACTTTGGCTCAGTAGCAGATATCTGAATATGTTTATTTACTTAACTCTCGAGTCATAGCCATGAACTCGAGAGAGACATAATGTTCTGATGCATTGGTTTTTCAAATTTATTTTAAAAATTCACTTTTAAAAATTCACTTTCAAGTGAAATAGTACATGAAACTTCAAATTAATGTGTGGTCAGGGCACTGCACAAAGGCTATTCTGAAATCCAGCCTACGAAGGGCTTTCTAAACCCTGTGCCTCCCGGCTGCGTCTGCCTGTGGTGAAGGAAGGGAGGCCTTTGTCTAATTTTCATGGTAGCAGGGGGCTCTCAGGGGCCCTGGGAGAGAGGTCTATGTAACTACATACATTGGGCTTACAGAGCTCATGCAGCAGACTCTGAGTTTTAAATACTGCAAGTCAATGAATAGGCTGCTGCCAGATTAGTCAAAGCCTACTGGTAACTAACAGTTGTACTAAAAGCAGAAAGATAGCATATATTTAATTAAATACGGTTATGAGAGTAATTTTAAAATATTTGTAAAATTCTATGACACTATAACACTAAATAAATACAAAAACAGGTTTTTTTCCCTTCTACTCCAGGAGGCAGTTAAATGGATGTATTAATGTAGTAAGTGATATATACTAACAAGTAAACGTATGTAACTTGGTAGACATATAGAGGTTTTATTTAAGAGTAACCACAGAACTAGGTCTCAAATGCAATAATTCTGAGGTTTTAGGGCTCATGTTAATTATTACTTAAGTATAGGACCAAATTAGGAAGGTATGGGAGATTCACTTTCCTCAACTTCTAATGTTTTATAAGTTTGCACATAATATGTCTAATGGGTGAAATCAGTGTTACGGGTTTTATTTTCATTTTTTTCTCTGGGTTTCCTGCCCGACTGGTGTTTTCTTCATAATCCCCATTTTTCACCGTCTGTCCAGGGCCATTCTATTAAAAACATTTAGTTTTGTAGTTTTATTTTAGTGAAAGATCTAAACGAATGTTTTCTTTGCCATAGTTATTTACTCTGGCTGAGAGCTTGGGAGGATACGAAAGTCTTGCTGAGCTTCCGTGAGTATATTTCTGTTTTCTCCGTGTTTTAACTTTGATGTCAGCTTTAACAATTGTTTAGAAAAAGAGTGTGGTAAAATCAGGAATAATTCAACATATTGAACAATAAGGGGTGCCTGGGTGGCTCAGTTGATTAAGCATCTGACTTCAGCTCAGGTCATGATGTCACAGTTCGTGGGTTCGAGCCCCATGTCGGTCTCTGTGCTGACAGCTCAGATCCTGCAGCTTGCTTTGGATTCTGTGTCTCCCTCTCTTCCCCTCTGCTGCTCTTGTGCGTGCTCTTTCTCAAAAATAAATAAACAGTAAAAAAAAATTTTTTTTAAAAAGATACTGAACAATAAGAACAGCATCTTGGTATCTAATCAGAATGGACTCTTAACCCAATAGAATGGAGACCCTGATAAAATCTCAGTGAGCTATATGTATCCCCGCCCGCACCCAATGTTGCTTCCTTCCCCCTTCAGCCTGAAGGCGATTCCAGGGGACTTGTATCTTAGGACCTCTGAGCTCTGACTGTTCTATCCCACTCCACTCTAGAAGGGAGGTTGGAGACTTTGTATTGGAAGGGCTGATTTCAGGGCGCCTGGGTGGCTCAGTCAGTTAAGCATCTGACTTGTTTTCAGCTGGGATCATGATCTCATGATTCATGGGATCGAGCCCCATGTCAGACTCTGCACTGATAGTATAGAACCCGCTTGGGATTCTCTCTCCCTCTCCTTCTGCCCCTCACTCTCTCCCTCTCTCTCTCTCAAAATAAATAAACTTTAAAAAAAGAATATATTTAAAAAAAAAAAAAGGGCAGATTTCAAATCTCCTTGAAATGTTGAAATGGGGACTGTGTCTCTGATAAAGTACCTCCATGCCCTCAATGGTCAGAGGAGGGCCCTACTAGATACTATTATTTTCTGTTCCTCTGGGTAAACCCTGAATGACTTCCTGTTATTTGCAAGACAGACCCCAAATTTAACTTGGTGTTCTTGATCCAGTCAATTCATCTTAATTTTATCAAAGCACTAGAGGATGTTAGAATGTGCAGCCTGAGATCCATCAGTCCAACAACTTATTTTATAGACAAGGAAACAAAGGTTCAGCAAGTTTTGCTGATTACTCCTAACATGGGAAAATGTTAGCAACTCTTGAAACTTCCCATGGAAACAGTGAGAGGAGGTAAAAGCAGCCTGGATCTGGGTTTGAGACTTGCCCCACCAATTACTTCACCTCTAAGCTTTCAGTGTTTTTCATCCATAAAATGTGATTGATAATTAAAATAATAATTGCCGGGGCGCCTGGATGGCGCAGTCGGTTAAGCGTCCGACTTCAGCCAGGTCACGATCTCGCGGTCCGTGAGTTCGAGCCCCGCGTCGGGCTCTGGGCTGATGGCTCGGAGCCTGGAGCTTGTTTCCGATTCTGTGTCTCCCTCTCTCTCTGCCCCTCCCCCGTTCATGCTCTGTCTCTCTCTGTCCCAAAAATAAATAAACGTTGAAAAAAAAAATGTAAAATAATAATTGCCATTTATTGATTACCTGTCCCTCCTAGCCTTCCTGAGCTGTGTCCTGATTTTATTATGTGTCACTCTACCCACAGATTGTAATTATTGCAGTGGTGATTCACCATCATTACCTAATAGTTATCAAGTGTACTAAATGTCCCTGGTATGTTTCTGTGTTTCAATTTTCATAAACATTTCTGGAATAACAATGTTCTGGAAGCACTGTGTTGAGGAGTGTCAGGGATTGCCAAAATTTAGGCACATTTGCTGCCCTGCCCTCTCACAGTAAGTAGTTTACAGTTTCTGGGAAGAGTCAGGCAGTTTCACAGAAAGTTAAAAAAAAAAATCTATGATGCCCAAATAATTGTTCAAATAATTAAGATAACAAAAATAGGTTTTTGTGAGTCTTCAAGAAGATGCCTGCTAGTAAGTCTGGATGCACAAGAGGGCACACTCCGCATATGAAATTGGGTTATTTTTCATAGTAAAGAAATGTGTATTACTTTAGGTCTCTCTTAAAAATAGAGCCCTCTTGATTTATTTGGGGATTTGGTTTAAAGTTGCTTGGCCCTCAGATATTCCAGCTACGCCATAACCTCAATGCCTGCCAGTGGACGAGTGAATTTAGGTCAGGGCTTGTCTGTTCTATCCCCCTCCTTCTGTGACTCCCAATCACTGCAATGACTACAGCATTGCAAAAAGGGAGGGAGGAAGCGAAGCCAATGTGCACAGCCTTGGTCTGCCAGCCTGACAACACATATTCACTCCATGGCCTCAGAAAAGTTACCGATGCTCTCTTAATCTCTCCTGTCCTGAGTTGTGAAATGTAGATAGCACTGTACTCAGCTCTTAGGGTTGTTATGGAAATATGGGGAAAAAAATATCCCAAACCCAATGCCTTGATTCATAGCAGGTGCCCCATAAATGTCACCTATTACCAGGAATTACTATTTTTTATTAGGCATCTAATACACTCCATACTTGTACATTTACACTTGTAAATGCTTTATATGTGTTTCTTCTATTAATGACTATGCCAAACTTTGAAATAGGTGTTCTATCCAATGTGTATTCATTTTTTAAAAATGAGTTAATGCACACAAATGACCTCATAGAGTACCTGCCTTATGGTAAACATATAATAAGTGATAGCTATTATTTTTTTTAATTTTTTTTTGATGTTTTTATTTATTTTTGAGACAGAGAGACAGAGCATGAGCGGGGGAGGTGCAGAGAGAGAGGGAGACACAGAATCTGAAGCAGGCTCCAGGCTCTGAGCTGTCAGCACAGAGCCTGACGCGGGGCTCGAACTCACAGATTGTGAGATCATGACCTGAGCTGAAGTCAGATGCCCAACTGACTGAGCCACCCCGGTGCCCCGCTATTATTATTTTAGATAAGGACATCGATGCTGAGGACAAGTAACTTTTACAAGCCCACTCAGCCAGTGTGTGGAGGGACTGATTCATGCATAGGTCTGTTGGTCTCAGAGGCCTAAGTTCTTATTTTTATGTGTATACTCTCTTTTAAGGAATTAAAAGCCTGAAAAGTCAACATTTTAAGAAGGGTGTTTGCATGTAGACCTTCAGTAGAGTGATAAAAGAAGATACTCATTTACGTTGACCACGTCTGAGATTTTCTATCCATGGATCTGCAGTGAGACAGGACAAAGCAACTAAGGCATTGATTTTGCGGGTAGAAGCATTTTTTTGCAGGGAAAGGATGAGTATTGGTGACAGCGTATGTATGTAGGGCTCAGCAAGGCTACAAGCCTCTCTCCTCCATGATGCCTCCGCCCACAGGTTTCTCCCTCCTCTGAATTCTGGCAATCCTTACTGTCCATACTTGTTTGGCATTTGCTGCAGACTGTTCTGTTCCATGAATTGTCATCATCTTTAGCTTCTGCTTTGTTATCTAGAGTGGAGAAAATATCTCTTTTTTTTGGTTTCCCAATTCTTATTATAGTGCCTGACCTTTAGGTAGGTGCTTTACCTTTACACATGTTGATGATGATGGGTTGCTAGGTAATTTTGAAAATCCTTTCAAGCCTCTACATTCATAGGATATGTGCTGGAATTCCTAATGCTCACTGCTGGCCACTGCTGGTGTTCCTGGGTTGACTTTCCCTGATCAGCCTCATAAGGTGCCATTCTGGATTAATCCATTGATTCAGAGGGAATTAATTCTGGCTGGCTCTCAGTCCAGTGGACCCTCCATAAGTCTAGCTGCTTGGTCATGGGATTTATGACTTGGTCAAAGCCTCATTCAGTCAGGTGTTAAAACGCATGCACTGGAGGCTGTTTTTCCCTCCTGCATGGGAGTGCTTGATTGGCACTGTCAGTGTCTGGATTGAGAACACTGATGGTGTAAAAACAATAAAAGATCTTCGTTTTCACTTAATGACTAGAAAAGATAATTTTCACAAATTTTTTTTTTTTGCCTGTGAAAAATTATAGACATATGAAGAATTTGGCATCTAGAGTAGAAAAAAGTGGAAGATAATTGTAATTTGTTAATAAGATACAATATAGTGACCTAAAATTTGCTTATTCTTTCTTTTAGGGCAATCATGACCCATGCATCAGTGCCTAAGAGCGACAGAGATGCCCTTGGAATTAGTGACACACTGATTCGCCTCTCTGTGGGCTTAGAGGATAAAAAAGACATACTTGAAGATCTAGATCAAGCTTTGAAGGCAGCAGTAAGTTTAATTATTTTGGGGTGTTTGTGTGCCTCATCTTGGAGGGGGTGGTCACTGTTTTCTAGAGTGGCCTCACTGTAAACTCTAAAGGTTTCTTCTCTTCCTACAATAGACAGGGAACTCAGTAGAAGGGCAGATTTTAAAAATGGTAGTATTCAGGGCGCCTGGGTGGCTCAGTTGGTTAGGTGACCGACTTTGGCTCAGGTCATGATCTCACGGTTCACAGGTTCCAGTCCCGCATCGGATTCTGTACTGACAGCTCAGAGCCTGGAGCCTGCTTTGGATTCTGTGTCTCCCTATCTCTTGGTCTCTTCCCCACTAGTGCTCTGTCTTTCTCTCTCTCTCCCAAAAATAAAATAAACATTAAAAAATTAAAAAAAAAAAATGGTAGTATTCAGAAAAGAGTCCTTAGAAGAAGTGAAGTCTCTGCCTGTGGGTCTAATAACATTTTTCTTGTGCACTTTTAATACAGCACCCTCCAAAGGCAGGTCATAACTAGCATTCCAGGACTGCTAGTAGAAGTTGCTTCCTGAGAAGGTCAACTCTGCGTAATCAAATGGACAATTAAAGAGCCTTTGCAGGATTTTCAAGTGAAAATTTTAAGGCACCTCATTACCTTTCACAGCTGTAACCTTACAGGGATCATCCTTGTTAAAAACAGTTTCCTCTTTCTCTTGTTGTAATTGACAGGTCAATTCTGTTATTCTCTTTTTGATAATTTTGGTATGCATTTCCCTCTGAAGGAGGTGAGATTTGTGCTGCTTTTTGGGATTGTGATCTTTTTTTCATAGCTTAAGGTTTATATTGATCATGTTTACAATATAGTGATAATTCATTTTTGATGTTTTTCTGAAGAATTTAAATTATTAAATGAATGTTCTTAAATCAAGTGTGATTTTTGCATATTGTTGAAAACAGCACTTAAAGCAATGGTTTACACTGAATTACCATAAGCCAAAAATCAAATACTTGAGAAGCCTACTGTGAAATTCTGCTGATTTAACGTTGTACTTACTATTTAAAAAAATAAATAAATCTAATTATCAAATGCATCCTATTGTGATATTCCTATATTATGTGGCATTAACTTGGATTCCTGGGCCCTTTTAATCGTCAGCATTAAAGGTCTCAGCCACTTACAGTAATTTTTGTAAATTCAATTGTGTAACTGTCATGTCCAAATCTTAGTGTTTGCAGATTCGTTATAGATTCTAGCAGGGGAGGTCAAAAGCCACTTTTATAGAGAGACATACTATTTATATTTTTATCTGTAATGGTAAATTTACTGAGTCTAAAGAAATGCTTAAAAAAGAATCTTCTAGAATTAAGTGCATTGTCAGCAAGTTATTGTCAAGAAGCCATAAATCAAATAATTAGATGTTTTAAATTGCTTTTATATTAAAGGCTTTTAGTCATTTGTCTGCTCTTGCCATTTGTTTCACCTTAAAAAAGCATATTGTTGAACTTGATTAATAATGCCAGGTAGGCGGCAAATACACAAGAATACACATTATATATTGTGCATATTCTGAATTACATGATAAGAGTCTGGAAATTCTGACTCTGTAGGCAGCAGCATTTTTTTTGTAAATTTGTTTTTATTTATTTATTTATTTATTTATTTATTTATTTATTT